TTCATAAATCATAACAAGCATTGAACATGGAATCTTCTCATTAAATAATGACGTAAAGAACGAGATCAGAAATAAATTGTGTAACATCTGAACAAATTTCAAAGGTAAAATAAAACAAAACATAACTAAAAATATGGCATGTCATGTTAATGGACTGATAAATGAAACAAAAAAATGTATGTATGAAAACACAAACATTTGTATACTAACAGCAGGTAAATGTAACAAAACTGTAATTATGTTAAAAAGTGAATACAAAACGAAAATGCTAGGCTTAATAAGTGATATAAATACATAAACAAAACTAAATAAAATAATAAATTTATGGCATAAAAAGAAGCTCATAACAGATAATTTGAAACGAACACTATCTTGCAACAATGGACGAGCACCATTTATATATGGCCTACCAAAACTTCATAAGGAAAACATTTCATTACGACCGATAGTTAGTAACATAAATGCTCCAACATACCAATTATCTAAATATCTGTCAGCAGTTTGAGTAATGTATTGGGAAAGTCAGAATATTACATTAAAGACTCATGGAGTTTTTGTGATTTTATAAAACAACAAAAAATACCAAAGAATAATCGGATAATATCACTGGATGTTGTATCATTATATACAAATATACCAATAGATTACTCAATAAGCTGAATAAAAAATAAATGGGCAGATATAAAAGAACATACAAAATTACCCGAAAAAGAATTTATTGAGGCGGTAGAGTTGTGCTTAAAATCCACATATTTCCAGTACGAAAACAAGTTTTATTCACAGATATATGGAGTAGAAAAGGGTTCTCCCATAGCAGCAACAATTGCAAATTTGGTAATGGAAAATTTGGAAGAACAAATAGTATCTAAATTAAACTATAAGTGTGAATTTTTTAAACGATATGTGGATGACTGCATAATGTGCCTGCCAAAAGACAAAATTCAATATACACTAGATAAGTTTAATGTCTTTCATGACACCCTAAAGTTTACTCTGGAAGGAAATTCTATAAACTTTCTAGGCCTAACAATTAATTATGATAACAACGGGGAAATCAAATAAATTGGTACACAAAGGAGGTATGGTCTGGTAGGTACTTGAATTATTAATCATACGCTCCAATGAAATATAAAAAAGTGTAATAACGGCACTTACAGATAGGGCCATAAGTACTGAACGAATAATTCTAGTCTCTTCCCAGATTTGATTGTCCTGACTAATCACCTGTTAGGCCTAATTAATTTTAGAATGTTTTAAAGTATTGAAATTGTGATGTATTTTAATGTGTGATATGATGAGGCTGTTGACGAACTATGGTTGTTTTTTAAATTCATGAATTTTTTTTTAACTATTTGTTATTTTAGAAAAACTGATGATGGTGGAAAAATACACCGAAACGTATTTCAATTGATAAACAGAGGCAATAAATGACTGAAACCCAGGAATTAATTTTGATTTGGAATTAAAACACAGTCAGGAAAGTATATACACTAATTTTTATGTCGAAAATCGTTCATCAAAGAACCTTTTTGCATGCATAAACTAAAAACCAAAACCATTATACCTGTTTTAGTACAAAAAAAATACGCAAAAAATAAAATGATAGATTTCGAATAATGGAATAAAAGTACATGATGCCTATTTAGTAGGCCTGGGTTGGTGCGCCAACTCAAGGCACCTGCGCTCAAGTTTCACTCAATTTTTTTTTCACTCAAATTTCACTCACTCTTTTTTCACAAAATTGTTAAATTCCGAGCGTTTACACAAGTAGCGAACATTTCATTTCAGAATCATCCAATGTCCCGTTTCCGCATACGTGTGAGATATCATCAACCTTGAGCCACCTGGTATGTATTTCGCCAAATATGTGCATTTACTAATACTATTTTGAAAGTTGTATAATCATCTTCCTACATAAATGTCCTTGAATCAAATGTATGTGACCCAATTTAAATCAGCCCAATTAATAGAACAATGCGAAAGGCAGCATCCAAGTTCAAATCCTAACATATAAATACTGTGATAAAACCGTCTTATCAAGAAATGTATGTTCTTTGAGTGATTAGATGCCTTAGAACGACCACGAGCAATGTTATTGTTAGTTCGAGCTTTCTTAGTAGAGTGTCTACCGCAGGTGAATGTAAAGGACAAATACAAGTAAAGGCAAGGACGAGATAGACGAGATCTCTTCATAATTCGGTTACAAGAAAAATTAATATTTGCGAATTTGCATGGCATTCATCATATGAAGGTTTCCGAGCATGGATATTTGCATTTAAAGTAAATCCGGCAGAATTATTAAAAATGGACCTACCGCAATCAAAGCTTTTTGCGTTGACGGCGCTGGGAATGAGCAGCATATTAGTGGGTAAGTTAAACATAGATATACTATTGCCTAGTAGATTTTTCAGATTACTGCGTAAAATAACCAGCTGTATGCTTGCTCTATTGTAATTTAAACAGTTGTAACAAATAAACTTTGTGAAATTGTAGGTCTGTTACCAGGATGTTTTACCAAACAATCCAGAACACAGTGGCCTCTATTTCTAAGCTGCCTGCTCTGTTTCGGGGGAGGCGTGTTGCTCTGTACATCGCTAGCGCATATTTTGCCTGAAGCCCGAGAAGCAGCTGCAGCGAACTACAAAAAGTACACGGAACTGATTTTCTGTCTAGGATTTTTCATTTTATATCTAATGGACGAAATCGTACATTATTTTTACGGTGAAATTGCCGGTCATAATCATAATCATGAGGATGGACATCTCCCTCATATTGACGAAGGAAGTCGTTTACCGGAAAGGTAAGGATATGAAACAAATTTTTGTTTTCAATTCAAGGCTTTCTTTTAAATTAATCCAATTGTTTATCAAGACATGCGAATTAAACGTTGTATTTTTGCAAAGGATTTTTGAAGTGATAACTTTTTATGGAAGGGTGAACCGATTTTTCTCGGTCACGGCGGCTCCCACTTCGGCCTCTTCGCGCCTGAGGCTTGGGACGCACAAATGCACTTTGAATTCGACGTTTTTCTCTTAGTGCGGGTGCATCTGTAGATCTGATAAACTTTTCAAATACAAATTGCGTTATTAAACTAGCGGTGCTTTTGATATATCAATTATTGAGTATGATTGTGTTGTGTTTGGTGCAGTTTATTTTGTAACGCTGATAACAATAAATCAACAATTTAACAATGGAGAAGCTGCAGATACTGCAAATACTAAGTAAGGGTGCTCATGTACTATATGCATGTTCGAGTTTCGCGTTCTTTTTAATTTTCAATTAAAGTACACACACAATTATACACACTAAAGCAGTTTAAGTGCATGAAAATGCGGATCGTCCATAAATTTGCAGAAAAATGTATTACAAACTTTTGAAAATAATGTTCAAGCGACCGGGTATTTATCATTGCAAATGAGATTGCCCGTTGCCGTGTACCGATAATTCGACACTCAAAATTGTGCCTAAGATCCACTACAATAAAGTTTTTGAAAAACTGTTGGACCTTATTTAAATCGCCTGATTGATTGCGGACGCAAATTCGTATCAAGAAAAGATTAAATTAAATTAAATCGTATCGATAGAATCCCG